TCACTTTTACAGGAACCTCTGAAAATCTTAAAATAGTATTGAGGGCTGGGCATGGTGACGCACGCCTCTAATCCCAGCGCTCAGGAGGCAGAAGCAGGCAAATCTCTGAGTTCCAGGCCAGCCTGCTCTACAGATTGAGATCCTCTCTCAAAAAACAAACAAACAAACAAAAAAGCAAAAGACAGTATTGTGAGTTTCACTCTAGGGTCTGGAGAGATGGCACAGAGGTTAAGAGCATTGGCTGCTCTTCCCGAGGACCCAAGTTCAATTCCCAGCAACCCGTGGTAGCTCGCAACTGTGTGTAACTCTAGTACGGGGGGAACTGACTCTGTAGCACAGACAGACTTGCAGGCAAAACACCAGTGCACATGAAATGAAAATAAATTAATTAAAAAAGAAAGAACGCTTCACTCTAGATTCTCCTGAGAAGACTGACCTTATCCAGGTAAGACAGACAGACAGACATGCATTCGAGTGTGCAGATCTATGTGATCAGCTGAGAAGTAGGTCAGGCACTTCCAGGAACTTCAGCTGGCACCTTAGTGTTAAGAGCAGAGGGCAGGAGTGTGGGCCGGGGTCAAGATGGTCAGAGATAGTCGGGTGGGGCTGCCATGGGACACCCCCAGCCCCCTGAAGTCACCTCCTTAACAGAAACCTTTGGGTTTACCAAGAATAATTTCAGCATATATTTTTTTTTTCTTTTTGGTCTTTAGTAGCAGGATTTCACACTGTTGCCTAGACCAGCCAAGCATGCTAAGCAAAAGTCCTTCTACTGAGCTATAATTCTCAGCTCTTTGAACATAAATTTTATTATTTCTTTTTTATTTTAGACAGGATTTCTTTGTAGTATGACAGCCAGGGCTATGTAGAGAAGCCCTGTCTCAATAAATAAATGAATAATGAGTGGGTTTGTAAAACTAACCGTAAATAAAGCCTTTAAAACTTTTAAGTGGGGCCTAGAAAGATGGCTCAGTGGTGTTCTTCCAAAGGTCATGAGTTCAGTTCCCAGCAACCACAGGGTGGCTCACAACCATCTATAATGTGAACTGATTCCCTCTTCTGGCAGGTGTATAAAACTTTTAAGTGGAAGCCTGGCATGGTGGCCCATACCTATAACCCCAGCTCTGTGGAGGCAGAGGCAGGAGGACCGCAAATTCAGGCAAATACAAGGCCAGCCTGTCTATACAGCAAGTTCAAGTAAATAAGTCTTAGGAAAAAACTCTTAACTGAAGAGTGGAGGACTGTGAGGAAACCATTTAGTGGGGCTCTGGGTCACCTCCGCGCCGGATCTTTTTCTTTGATTGTTTGTATTTTCGATTATTAAAGCTTTCCTTGTTGTATATGAGTGTTTGGCCTTTATGGGTGTACACCACATGTGTGCCTGGTTCCCACGGAGGTCAGGAGACGAGGGGTCCCCAGATCTGAAGTTACTGATAACTGTGAGCTCGCGGGCGGATGCTGGGAGCCGAACCGAGGTCTCTTGCAGGGAACCAGGTGCCCTTAACTGCTGAGCCGTCTCTCCAGCCCCTCCTCACAGTATCCTGTCTCAGCCAGAATGATCAGCAAATACCATATAGATATTGAATTTTTTTTATGTAATATGTAAGTAGTACATGCACTTTGTACAATAATGTGTGTGTTCCTGTGTATTTGTGTTTTTTTCCTGGGGTGAGTGCAGGATTACATCCAAACAACACGAACAGGGTCTTTCTTTTGTAGGGGGCCTATGCTGTACCCCCAAGTGATTGACAGACCAGTCATCAAACAAATGACAGCACTCGGGGAGGCAGAAGCAGGCGGATCCCTGTGAGTTCGATGCCTTGAGGTGGGGAAGTGTGGTCTGGTGAGATCGCAGGCTTTTCACCGACCTCAGTCCTGTCTTTAGTCAGTGAGCCCTTTATGTTTAAATCTGGTTCAAAATGAAAATTAGGCCCATGAGATGGCTCAGTGGGTTAGGTGGTTGCCACCAAGCATGGGGATCTTTGCGACCCACGTGGCAGAAGGAACGAACTGACCCCTATGGGTTGTCCTCTGGCCACAATTTGTGCCATCTCTCTCTCTCTCTCTCTCTCTCTCTCTCACACACACACACACACACACACACACACACGTAATATATTTTTAAAAGAGGTAGACACTATTTTAAAAGCTGAAAAACATTCTCCTTTGCACTCCTGTTCCACCTGCTGTGACCCTGCTGTTCTGTTCTGCCATAAGAAAGGTGAGCATTTGTGACTCTAACTCAGGCACAGAACAGACATGCTGGGCTGGGGCCGGGGCTTGGTTGGCGAGTGCTTATGTAACATGCATGAAACCCTGGGTTCACTCTCCAGCACTCCCTGAGCCAGGTGTTTGGTGGTCCAGCACTCTGGAGGTGGAGGCCGGAGGGTCATGTTCAAGGTCAACCTCAAGTATAGTGAATTTGAAGCCATTCTGGGCTCCATGAAACTGAGCCTGTCTCAGGAAAAAAGCTCCTGGCAGTGGTGGCACACACCTTTAATCCCAGCACTCAAGAGGCAGAGGCAGGCTGAGTCCAAGTTGGAAACCAGCCTGGTCTACAGAGCAAGTTCCAGGACAGCCAGGGCTGTACAGAGAAACCTTGTCCTGGGGGAAAAATAAAAATAAAAAAGTCAAAACAATCATGTTGATAGTACTACTGTTAGCAGCCCCCAAACCGGAAACACCGAAGTACCCATTTCAGCAGCAAAGCCGTAAATAACCATCAGCATATTGGGGTTGGGAATGTAGCTTCGAGGTAGCATGCTCAGGCTCTGCTTTCTTCCCTAACACTGAAGAAAAAGTCAGGATTGATATATTAGTCAGGTTCGGTGGCACATGCCTGTAATCCCAGCATACAAGAAGCCAAAGTAGAAAGATCATGAACTTGAGGCTATCCTGGGCTACATTAAACACACACACACACACACACACACCATCCTGCCCCAGAAAACAATTGGTAAATTGATGTCATTGACTGCTATGCGATGTTTAAAATGGTCCTGCCTGTGTACACTGTGTGTGTGTGTGTGTGTGTGTGTGTGTGTGTGTGTGTGTGAATGCGTGTGGTATGTGCGCACACGTGTGCTGTGCTCCTGTATACAGGCATGGAGGAGTGTAGGGATGCAGCCTTGATGTCCACCTTACTCCCTGACACAGGGTCTCCCCGAGCCAGAGCTGGGCTGGAGGCCGTCAAGCCCCAGTGATCCTGTCTCTGCTCCCACAGCACCAGCGGTGCAGGCGTTGCCGGCACCTGGCTCTTTCACGTGGCCGCTGGGGATTTGAACTTGGATCCTCATGCTTGCCCAGCCTAGTTCTCACCGCCTATGCCATGTTCCCAGCCCGTCTGTGTACACATGTAGTTAAAAATGAGTCAGAACCGATGCATGGCAAATGAAACCGGGAGCTGGGCTCTAAGACCGTGAAAACGGGGCTCTGGCCGAGATGGAGCTGATAAGCCCGGGTAAAACTGTTACGGTTTATGCCTTTTAGGACAGAGGGAGATAACAGATCCCATGGTTAAAAACGAGTAAAGTGGTTCTGAGAACTCCGAAACTGCCACCCTTTTCTAAATGACTTCATCCACAGACAGGCCGTTTTGAGTCGCTGACCTCCTTCTGTGGCCGCAAAGGGTCGAGCGAGCTTTTGTTTGAGGGTTGTGAGGGGCGTTCGCAGCCACCTGGAGCACGGTTCCCCCACCCCTTGCCAGGCACGGGCTGACCACCAGAAACGTGCTGTAGTCCAGAAGCTGGCCTCAAATTCACGACCAGCCCCCTGCCGCCGCCTCCCGAGGGCTGGCTGAAATGGCTGCACCCACCCCGCGCACCCTCCCTCGCAGCCTGAGTCGCTTTGGGGACCATTTTCACACTATCGACTCTGAGTTTTCATTGACTCTGGGATGTGAAAGCCCTCCTGAACTCTGATGGCTAGCAAGTGGCAGGAATCAGATGGGAGGCCGGGAAGACATTTAGGTGGACTGGAATAAAGCCTCTGTAATCTCAGCCCTTCTGAGGCAGAGGCAAGAGGATTATCTGGACTATATAGTGAGTTCAGGCCAGTCTTTGCTACACAGAAATACTATGCAAATATTAATTAATAGTTAGTTTTAAAATGAGCAGGAGGGGTCACCTTGAGCACGAATTTCTTTCCTTCTGTCCATTCTCCTCTCTGCCTTCTGCCGCCATTCCTTCCCTCCTCTTGCAGACTTTGTGTTTGTTTATCTCTGCCGTGTGACCCCCACACGCACGCCATCCCCAGCTTTTCAACAGAAAGTTCCATCTGTTCTGGCACCCTTTGGACCCTGTTTGGTTTGTTTGGGAAGCAGCTGCCCTGCTCACAGAGATTGTCTCCACAGCTATGAGATTTCCCCTTGTCCTTCAAGTAGACTGTCTGTTCTCTCTACGTGCCCGGGAGGAAAGCTGTGAGCATCACAAACCCAGCAGTAAGACAGACACTCTGCCGGGTAGGCCCCTGCCCCCGTTCTTATCTCCCCCCCTCCTTTGGCTTAAGCTTACCATGTTGCCCAGGCTGGCTTCACACTCAGACCAATCCTCCTGCCGCAGCATCTGTCCCACACACCTTCACACTCCTCTTGGGTTGTTTGGGAAACAGTCCTTGGGCCGTGTGAGGGCTTTTATGCCCGTCAGACGGCACAGCCAAACCCTGGCTCTGTGGGGCAGACAGAGCGGGGAGACTCGCCTGCTGGAGGCTGTGGGCAGCAGCGGCAGAGAGGTCTGAGGTACATACAGGCAGCAGCTGGGGGGCCAGGTTGGGTCTCAGAATGTGGTGAGGTGTGCCCCAAGATGGAAGTCCAAAGCTTCCAGGGTCTGAGGCTCTGAATCCATTCTTCCTGCAGCAGGGGTTGGCACTGGGGGGAAGCTCTGTCCTTTTTCCCACCCAGTGTGAGACGGTGGGATCCTGGACTGACGGGGACCCTGTCAATCCTACTCTGCTACCAGCGTATCCTTGGCTGATGGTCTCTCTTTCTCTCTTTCCCTCTCCAGGGCCAAGTGTGGATCAACGGCTTTAACCTTGGCCGATACTGGCCCATAATGGGCCCACAGATGACCTTGTTTGTGCCCAGGAACATTCTGACCGCTGAAGCCCCAAACAACATCACGGTGCTGGAGCTGGAGTCTGCACCCTGCAGATGCGGGACCCCAGAGCCGTGTGTGGTGGAGTTTGTTGACAGGCCAGTTTTTGTCTGACCGCCAGTGGCCGTTTCCCAGGCCAAGTCTGGTCAGGGCTCAGGGCCCAACCGCCTGTGAGGACTGCTCATTCGAGAATGGAAGGTACCATGAAGGAGGTGTGTCCCGCCGGCGGCTCTCTACAGCCCTGCCTTGCCCGACCCCTACCCTTATGGCCGCCAGGCATGCTGGAGGAAGTGGGCATGGCAGGAATCCACAGCCGATGTTCGGAGTTGGAACAAAACCTGAAGAATCATGTCTCGTATTTTGATTTGAAATAATCATGTCTTTCTCCTGAATAAAATGTGTACTCGGGCGGTGGTGGTCCTGTCATTAATAGCAGCAGGTGTTCGTCTCCATCGTCTGACTTAAATCTCAACTAGACTTGAGTGGGCTGGGTGAAGCCACTTCAGTAGCTTGACGTTGGAAGCGGGTAGAGGCAGTCCTGGTGTGGGCTAGCCAAGGGCTGCTTTTCTGATCCTGATTTGACTGGTTCCGAATCACTGTGGTGGCTGCTAGGTAAGAAACCTCCAGTTACACAAACTGTGAAAGATTGACAGTTGCTCCAAGTAGGTGGGATGGCCCCTCTACACAACTGAGTAGGATTTTGTGTGTGCACGTTCATGTATGCATGCAGATGCATTTTTGTTCATGTCTGTGTGCATGTCAGAGGCCCATCCGGAATGCCTTAGTGTCTAAGCACATATAGGATTTATAAAATGTAATTCTGCTGTGTTGGGGGCTGGGCTGTAGCTAAGCTGGTAAATATATGTTCACCGTGCAAGAGGCACCGGGTCCTGTCCCTAGCACTACCTAAAACCAGGCCTTGATAATGCACACCTGTAAATAGCACTCAAGGAGTGAGACAAGAAGATCAAAGTTCAGGGTACCCTCAGCTGCATAGTGGGGTCAGGCCTTGGGCTATATGTGACCCTGTCAAAGATTAGTATGGTCATCTCTGCATGGTAACCGTTTGGGTAGTTGGTAGAGGCTCCACGGGCCAGCGTGCATGCACAGACATTGCTGTGCCGTAGCACGGACGTGCTGCTGGTCCTTGACTTCCTGCTTGTTTGAAACAGGGTCTCTTGTTGGCCACGGCTTCAGGGCCTCCTCTTGTCTCACTCTCCCATCTCTGTGCAGGAACACTGGGATTGTAGACCCCTGCATCCAGCTTCTGCCTGGGTTCCAGGGGTCCAAACTCGAGTCCTCACCTTTGTTTGGGAAGTGTTTTACCCACTACCCACGGAGCCACCTCCACAGCTTTCTTTTGTTTTTTGTTTTGGTTGTTGTTGTTTTTAGATTTATTTATTTATATATATGAGAGCTTTGTTTGCATGCCTGCCTGCATGATGGAAGATAGCATCAGATCCCATTATAGATGGTTGTGAGCCACCATGTGGTTGCTGGAAATTGAACTCGGGACCTTTGGATGAACAAGCCAGTGTTCTTAACCTCGGAGCCTCTCTCTGGCCCTGTTTTGGTTTTTAGAACAAGGTTCCATGTAGCCTAGGTTCATCATGTAGCCAAGGGTAACCTTCAATTTCTGATCATCCTGCCCTCAGTTTTTTGTTTGTTTTGTTTTTCGAGACAAGGTTTCTCTGTGTAGCCTTCGCTGTCCTGGACTGCCTTTGTACAGCAGGCTGGCCTTGAACTCACAGAGATCCACCTGCCTCTGTCTCCCAGAGTGCTGGAATTACACACGTGTGCCACCATGCCCAGCTTGCCCTCACTTCTTGCATGCTGGGATTACAAACATCACCACCATGCCATTTTTAGACTATGCTAAGAATGTCTGTATGTTACACAGACGTCCTACTGACAGAGCTACATTCCCCAGGCCTCTTTTCTCCATCGTCTAGTGCCATTTTTTGGTTGTCAATCCATCCATCTTTGTTTCTTGGTAATTCCAGTTTACTTGAAATGAAATTGCTTAGCGCTGTGTCTTCTGTCAAGCCAGCAATCTCCTGTGATCTTTATTTCTTCTGTGAAAAATAAAAGGTCATTTTCTGAGATCACTTCTTAGTCACGGTGAGGCATCTCTCCGAGCTGTGGTACAGCACCACACATGTGCTGCAGGAACGTCAGCTGACCGTCCAGAGGGTGGGGACACACTGGCTCTAAGTAGCAGTGACCCTGAAATTCAGAGCTGCCCCTGGCTTCCCTTGCCCTCTGGCTGTCTGGAGACTTGCATCTATACCAATCCCCACCAGACACTTGTTTTTGTTTGTTTGGTTTGGTTTCGGTTTTTCAAGACAGGGTCCTGGCAGTCCTGGAACTCACTCTGTAGACCAGGCTGGCCTTGAACTCAGAGATCCACCTGCCTCTTCCTCCGGAGCACTGGGATTAAAGGCCATCACCACTGCCTACCCCAAAAGACACTTCTTTTCCTAGTCTTGAGGGGCTTTTCCAAGTTGGAGGAAGCATCTCACAAACTTAGGCCCTCCAGAATGTGCAGTGTCTCTGAGAGCTAAGTAACCAGTCACTGGGCCTCGAACCTGGCTCGCTGATAGAGTGTTTGACCAGCAAGCATGAGGTCCTGGGTTCCACCCCATCCCTGAGAAAACGGGATGGTCAGGCACGCATGTAATCCTAACACTCAAAAGTGGAGGCTGCAAGAGCCAAAGTGCAAGAACACAGCAAGTTCTAGGTCAAAACAGAACCAACGATGATACGAACTGTTCAGACTTGGTGATGGAAACTCATGGATAGTCTCTCCCTGCCCCTGTCTCTCATCATTGGTGGCAAGAAAGTGACTCACTTAAACACCCTGATCTCCTTCTCAAGTGTGGTCCTGGGCTGGAAAGTTCAGGGTAGAGGGCTGGGTGTGCCAGCAATGCCCTGTAACAGGCAGGGACTGAAGGATGCTGGGAGAATCTGGAGGCCAGGTCCAAATATGTAAATTAGGCACTTCAGCCACTTGTCCCAGGTCTGAATCCCAACAGATGATATTAAACTTATGGTCCTCCTGCCTCTACTCCTATCTACCTACCTACCTACCTACCTATTTATTTAATTACTTTGAGACAGGGTCTCTCTTTATACTAATCCTAACCCTGAGTGTGGGGATTAAAGGCCTGTACCAGCACACCTGGCAATAGTGGCTATTTTAAAAAACTGTTAACAGTATTCAGTTGCAATCATTTTGTATAAGTCTGTCCATTTCACAGAAAGTTCAAGTCCTGTTCACTTTTGGTCTAGCCCCATCAACAACGTAAATGGCTTGAGCCACACCAGGTTCACTTGGCCTGTATTTTTATATTGAGGGCTCCTTGGGTCATTTCATCTTGTCTTGGCCCCTGGCGAACTCATGGGAAGTGGGAGGGATGGAGACCATGAGCACCCGCCCTGTGAGCCCCACACCAGCCTGTGAATTGCAGTGTGAGAAGCACCAAGCTTGGTCTCTGTTTCTTTTTTTGTTTGTTTGTTTTGAGGTGTCTTTTTGTTTTGGTTTTGGTTTGGTTTTTGTTGTTGCTTTTCAAGACAGGGTTTCTCTGTGTAGCCTTGGCTGTCCTGGACTCACTTTGTAGACTAGGCTGGCCTTGATCTCATTCATAGCAATCTGCCTCTGCCTCCCTGAGTGCCGAGATTGCACTACCCTCCTGACTTTCTCTTCTCCTCCTCCTCCTCCTCCTCCTTCAATTTCATGTGCATTGGTGTTTTTGCCTGCATGTGTCTGTGTGAGGGCGTCAGATCCCGTGGAACTGGAGTCACAAAGAGTTATGAACTGCTATGTGGGTCTTCTGAAAGAGCAGCCAGTGCTCTCAGCAGCCCCAGTCTCTCTGCTTCTTACCTGTTGGTGAAAGCTTTGGCTCAGGGCTCTGAGGTTTCACTCAGTAGCTGTCCACCCTGTGCCTCCACTCTGCTTTGACTTGTATTAAGCAAGGAGACTTTGTGGCTGAAGGTTTGTTATGTCTGGCCTGTCCCCTTTCCTGTGGACTAAGGGCTTGGGTCTTACTCTGAAGCCTGTGTGATGGTACAGGCTTCTAATCCCAGTACCTGGTAGTAGCCCATAGTAGGTCCTCAGCCAGTGCCTGCTAGCTGGCTAAGTAAGTGCCTCCATGCCTGCATTCACACTGAGGGCATAGGGTCCCTGTAATGCCACCACTTCTTCCAAGGTGTCTGACACCCCAGTGCATGTCCTCTTAAAAGATCCAAGCTTTCATTTTTAAACAGTTGTTTTTAAACCTTCTCAAAGAGGGCTTGCTTTCCCGTTGTTACTTCTGGCGAGACAGTGTGTGTACTTCTTCCACACAATTTCAGTTCATGAAAGGCAGAACCGTCCCACACACTCTTCTACGGGATCATGACTCAAATGTGGAGCAGCGTGTCTTGAGTTCCAGAAACTGCCAACCACACTGGGCCTCTCTGAGGCTGCACAAACATAATAGCACTGAACAGGAGATACCAGGTTTGTTCTCTTTTTTCCTGTGGTGTTTCATGTGTGTGTACATGTGCGTGTGCATGTGGACAGTGTTTCATGTAGCTCAGGCTGGTCTTAAACTCACTATGTAGCCAAGGATGACCTTGAACTTCTGGCTCTACCTCTACCTCCAAATTCCTAGATTTATACGTGTGGCCACCAAGCGTCATTTGTGTGGTACTAAGGACCTGAGTCTCACGCATGCTACCCACCCCCCAGCTTGATATCTCAGTCCCTAGACATCTTCCCGCCCTCCGTATTGCTTGGCCAACCTTTTGTCTTCCTTGTCCACTCTCGCCTCCACATTTCTAGTCATTTTCAAACTAAACATGCCCCATCTGTGTTCCCGAAATGATACATGCTTGCCTTTCTAACCCAGGTCCTTAGGATGGGGTGTTGGAAGGCAGGGGGCTTCTAAGGTCAGTGAGGGAGAAAGGAATCAAAAGGAAGCAAGAGCCAGGGTGTGATGGTACATGCTTCCAACCCTAGCCGTGTGGAGACAGACGTGTCTCTGGAGCCCACAGACCAGTGGGACCAGGCAGACCTGCCTACTCAGCAAACTCCGGCCCAGGGAGAGACCCTGTCTCAAAGAACAAAGTGGGGCCAGTGAGACAGCAGGCAGAGACACTTGCCACCAGGCCTGACAACCTGAGTTTGCGCTCCGGGACACACAGGGTAGAAGAGGAGCATCAACTCTAGCAAGCTGTCCCGCGCTGTACATGTGTATACACACACAGAGACAAATAAACTAAGGATTTGTTTTAAAAACTGAATTTTTTTAAAATTTTAAATTATCTGCATCCACGTGTGAGAATGTGCACGTGAACATGGTGCCCAAAGAGGCCGGATGAGGACATCCGTGTCCTAGTAGTGGGTTGTGAGCCCCTCTGCTTTGTG